TAGTATCTGAAGGATGCTAGTAGGGAGGAGCTTGGTCACCTTATTGGTGATTCCATCTGAGCCTGGTGCTTTACGGGGGCGTAGTTTTTTAATGGTCTCTACTAGTTCTAGGCACGTGACCGGGGGAACGGGATCGCGGAGTGGCTCTAAAGCTTTCCTTTCTACCTCTTCGTTCACCTTGCGGAGGTGTTCGGGGTCGATCGGAAGCAGACTGGGGGAGCATTGAGACTCTAGGCTGTCAGCCAGGCATTCGGCCTTCTCTTCGTCCAGCATTGCTGGCATATCTATCGGACGGACTAGTGGCGGCATGGTTGTTATGCCGTTACCCTTGAGGGATTTGGGAAGTTTCCAGAAGGCTACGTGGGATGGTTTTACTGAAGTTAGGGTGGAGTCCCATCGTTCGTTTCGTGAGTCTGCTATGCGTGTTTTGACCTCACGCTGCAATTTACGTAGCAATCTACGATTCGAGTCGGTGGGATATCTATCATAGGCTCGAGTGGCCGCATTCTTGCGTCTCAGCAAGTCTCGCACATCGTCTGACAGGGCCCAGCGATGGTCGCCCATCGCCGGGACCTGTCTCGAGCATTGCTCGACGACGGTGTTAACGTGGCTTGTGAGGGCTCGAATTGCGGTTTCCGTGTCCTGTTTGGTATTCAATTCTCTAGGGATTGACTCTAGTTGTGGAGGATTAGGTTCGTGAAATTTAGATTTGATTTAATGCCAGCTGATGACAGTTTTGGTTAGGGGAGCGGCTGTTGCTGAAGGCCCTAGCCGGAGGAGAACTGGTCGGTGATCGGAGTGAAGCTCGTGTATCACTTCCGGTTCGCATAAGGAGAGACTGATGTTTTTGACGAGTGCAATGTCAAGCACATCCGATGTGTGTCCCTCTACGTAAGGAAAGCGCGTATGTTCGACGGGGGCAGCGACTTCAAAGTCGAGCCTGTCGGATAGCGAGTCGAGTGCGGTGCCTCGACTGTTGGTACGTGTCGAGTTCCATCGGGTGTGCTTGCTGTTGAAGTCGCCAGCTAGGATGGTGGCTCCTCCTATAGAGAAGAGGGCCTCAAAATCGGATTGCAATATTGCTGCGGTTGGTCTACAAGGGAGGTAAACTGATGCTATGGTGATAGGAGAGTGGCCGGTTAAAGCCAGCTGACAGACGGAGGCCTCGAGATGCGTGAGCGCGGGCGTGTCTACCGGTACGCAATGGAGAGATTTTTTATAGTAAATAAGTGTGCCGCCGCCCGGGGCGCCGACATGATCGTTCCTAACTATTCGATAATTGGGGATGTTCGGATCCCTTGTCGCGGGTTTCAGGAGCGTCTCCTGAATAAGAAGTATATCGATTTGGTGGTCGCGTAAGAATATACGTATTTCGTCGTCGCGCTGTTCTTTTAACCCGTTCGCGTTGTAGAAGGCTACGTTAATCGATCGCGGTTTAGCTCTGCCGTTATTACGCGTAGCAGAGGGACTGACATTCGCGGTGGTATTACTATTAGGTGTAGTAGCCATCGAGGGGCCTAAGAGGAGAACGCACACACGATGTGCGGATACCTACATACGAGTTCGATCCTAGTATGTAGGTCTGCTTTTGCGTACTGTTCCGCAAAAGTCATGAATTCCGTCATATTGACGGTACGGGCGAGCCTTGTGAGTGACTCGAAAGGGTTACCTCCGGCCGCAAGGCTGGGCGGGACGAATGTTGGTTGCGCGGTGGGTTGTGGAAACATTGCTTCTGCAATGCGCGGGTTTGGTTTGGCCCATGCGGGGGCCATAGGGTTCTGCCACGCGGGGCGCAATGGAGGAAAAGAGGCGGCCGTAGGAACCGGCGGCCTTCTAACTGCCTGAGTGGCAGGCTTAAACGGTTTGCGCTTTGGCGCTTTGGGGCAACCTAGGTAGTTGGCCGTGTGTCCTTCCGACTGGCAGAGTACGCAGGTGGGGAGGCCGAAATTGCTGAGGAGTGCTTTGTCCTTTGGTCTGGGACAATCGGGAGTGCCATGATCGCCTAGGCACTTGACGCACCTGGGCTTGGCGAAGCAGTTGCGTGCCGCGTGCCCGTACAATTGGCACTTGTGGCACTGTCCAGGGAGAGATCCCTTGTGAGGGGGTTCGACTATGATGTTGGTGAGGCCGAGCACCGACTTAAGGTCGAAAATGGCCTTACCTTCTGGGGTGAGATCCAGATGGACAAGGACCATGTCAATCGGTCTTTTCATCCGCTTGCTGTTCATGCGGTGGACTGAGTGTACTGGGAGGCTTTGTTCCTTAAGGGATTCCAAAACTTCTTCGGTGGCGATGTTCCTAGGGATCATCTTTATAACGACGCGGAGGATTCGGTCTTCCGCGAGCGTATACGTATGATAATACACCTCCTTTTCGCGGAGGAATTGGGACACGCTGCGATGGGCATCAGCTGTTTCGAGCTGCAGCTTGATGCCCTGAGTAGTGACGGTCGCGACGAATTTTACCCTATTTGACAGGGCGGACGCGATCATAGGCCACTTTTCGGTGTCCTGAATAAATAACGGTGGCGGGCGTTTATCCTGCGGCGTGCGTGGGGCGGCGGGAGGCGCGGGGGCCGCGGGTTTGGCGGCTGGAGGAGTTTCAGTCGGGGTCGCTGAGGGCGATAGAGCGGGTGCGGGCTCGGAAGGCCCTGCCTCGGCCGTTTCGGACGGCCTGGATGCCTTAACCGGCACGGGGGATGGAGCCGTGGAGGACGCCTGAGAATTGCGCTTCTTCCTCTTTTTCTTATTCACCACTTCGGTGAATAAGCCGCCTTCATTAGAGGCGCCGGTGGAGGAGAGGGGCGTGTCGAGTTCCATCTCTTCTTGAGAGGAGGAAGTTGCTGAAGCTTCAGCGGAGGAGGAGGCCCTTGAAGAGGGCCTTGATAAATCCTTGAGTGCCAGGAGGGCATCTCGCAAGGCGTCGGGGTATTTAGCTTGGAGGAGTCCAAGAATGGCCTTTAATTCGGCCATTACGGGATAATTATCCTACTACCATTAGTCCTAATAAGTCCCGGTGGGATACCGGGGTGAGTGCCCGTATCCCTCCCTGCCGGTTATAGGCAGGGAGGATGAGTGCCTAAATTGTGTGACCCTAGTGCGTCCTTGTGCCGATCTTATTGTGCACACGGGTGTGTAGTTATAGCTAATTAAAACTACCCGAGGGCGCTAAAAGGCCAAACGTGGACCACCGCTGACTAGGGACTACACCCAAGGCCAGTGATGGTGGTCCCTTCCGAAAATTCGCGGTTCTCAGGAGAGAACGGCAAGGCGATCGGGGCAAGCCTTGGCTAGCTTCGTTAGCACCGTTAGGTATCCACTAGCCCTAAGACGTTCAAAACAGAACCGCTGCTAAGCGCGTTGGTCGGCGCAGTCAAAACTGCACCTCGCAACTCGACTTGCGAGCGGGGTGTCCACTCGTAATAAAAATCACGAGTGAACGCGGCGCGCGGTGCGCGACGACTGAGCGTCCGCGGCGAGCGAGTCGGCACGCGGAAGCGGACAGGGGTGGGGGGGTAGCAAAAGCAGAGAGAGCGCGTGCCAAGGCGTGCGTTCGTCTCGACTGTTGCGAGCTGAATGTGAAGTTAAGATTAAACATTTAAATTTGTTTTTTTTTTTTTTTTTTTTTTTTTATGCTTTTAAAGATATAACAATTGATGCGCCAAGTATTGCTTAAAACATAATAAAAGTCGTTGAGTTTTTCGTCGGTGTGGCAGTCAGCCTTATAGCTTAGTGGTTAAAGCGTCTGGGCGCGAATTCCGGAGGCGTGAGTTGGATTCCCACACAGCGCCGCGAGAAACTTTACGTACTTATACTACAAAATTTAATCAACCTCTTTATATCATAATGTTTGTTATACGCTATTTCAATATTTATCCCATTGTCATGATTTTGGAGTTCATTTTTTACTTTTCATTTAATAATATCATTGGTAGACATTTTATTTCAAGCGTTGTAAACTGATATAAATTTTGTTGGCACATGTAAATGTTTGTGTGGTGTGTTCACAGTTGAAATATAAAATTGTTAGACATTTCTACTTATGGCGGTTCAAGAGGTTGTTCTTCAGGAGTTTTTTTAATGCTAAAGCACCTGGGCGCATTCCCTAGAAGTCGTGGGTTGGAATCGTGGCGTCGCCGAAAAGAAAATTCTCCAATACATATTATGTATAAAATAATGTGAATCAAACACACCATTTCATTATCGTCATTTGAATAACTCTAATAAATAATATGAAATTGGGCGTTTGTTAAATATGTATAGGTAAAAAATAGTGATATTTGCCATTTAGAATCTATGTACACATAAAATCAAATGTTTTGTCTACAAATTTATTACTATTGATATTAAAAATGTATTGATAATGTGAGGACCTTAAGTATTTTCATCAATAAATTTTATCGGCTATATTAAAACCTTTTAACTTACTATCATTGTTTGTATTTCACTAATTATCTAGACAATTCATTGAAAAACACACAAGTACACAGCGTGCGTGACTTTGTGTTGCGTTTTTATGTGCGATATAAATAGACTATACATAATTATATGGGCTATAGATGCTCGTTTAGATATCAAAGGCAATATAACTAAAAATGCGGTAGAGTTTTGTTCGAAATGAAATAAAATATTGAAAACTGTTAAGTGTAATCTCTAATCTAATCTTTGAACTTGGATTTCTTACAAAAATAATGTAAAATTCGGGACTTACAATAATTTAGAGTTGTATTTACACAATATTCCGCAAAAACTAAATAATGACGAACAGTAAGTAAGTAAGATGTTTATATTATGTGTACACGGAATATTTATTTAAATTAAAAATGAAGTCAGTCATAGAAAAAAGAAATTTATTTTTCTGAATCATCCACGAATTAAAACCGGTAGACATAAATATTGTTTGAATTTTACAATTTTCAATCTCTAGAATCTTCCGAAAACCATAACTAAAACATTTGAAAACGTCTCGTAACAACACATATTATGTACTTTGAATACTTACTTCGGCGAACCGTCTTTGCTGCGTACTTCTGGGAGTAAGCTCGCTTGGCTTTGCTTGCTGTAGTTAATCTTATCTCCGTTGAAACGAGTCCGGACGGAAAAATGGCGCAGTAAATGAACTAAGCCCGAATTTACTTGTAGTGTTGCGTGTCTGGTGCCAACGCAGAGTCTGTTGCCTTTATCGAAAGCCATGAAGGTGTTGTCCAGAGCGGCACGATTTTCACGACTGAACCTCTCCGGCTTGAAGGCATCAGGTTCGGGGAATATCTTGGGTCGTGAAGATAGGCGTAAATATCTTCGTACCTTTATCCACCCTTATGTTGCCCACCGGCAACATAGTTTCGCGGACGCACTCCCTGGTCAGGAAGCCAATGGGCGGGTAAATCCTCATCGCTTTGTTGTAAACCATATCCAAATACTCCATACCTTGAATGCTGTCGTAGGTCATCTAACTATCGTGCTTATCGAATGCATCGTCTATTTCCGCCTGCACACGCGCCAGTTCCTCAGGGTTCCGACCGAGTTCAACTAAAGTGGAAAATATAGCGATTGCGCTTAGCTCCACGCCGGTAATGAAAAAAAAGAACGCCTGGGCAGCCAGAAGTTCAGGATGCTGTTGCTCTGCAAATTCACGTATATATCGGCAAAGTCATGCCACCTCATTTTTTCTTGCTCCCTCCGTCGTATGACCGGCCTTATTGCGCTTATGAAGAACTCCTCGTGCTCCTTAAAATGTTTCATTCCCAGCAATTTAAACAATGTTGTATTTAGGGAGCCGATAGCGAACTTCATGTTTTGTGATCGTGTCGGCTTCATAGCGGCCTGCGCCATTTTGAGGAAGGGCGAGTCAAAAATGGAATCGGTTGTTATGCCGAAGACTGAAGCGCCCACAGCAGCGCTGCAGAAAGTACATAGGGTGTCGAAAACATCCGCCTTTAACTTCTCCAGTTGCTCTTTTAGATAATCGACGAAATCCCGTGCACTGCGATCCATTATGTACATGCTCTTGAGCTTCGCTGACGTGAACATCGGTGTCATGCTCTGCCGCATCAGTTTCCATCTGTTGCCATTCATGAAGAGGATGTTGTCAGCCAGTTTGTCGCCAGTTTGTTATTAACCTCAATCCCCCTGTGGTTGAACGAGTTGAAGTCCTGCTGTAGGATGTACTGAACGTTGATAGGATCCTTGACGTAGAGGGCCGGTGTGATGAAAGAGCCAACACCGACTGCGGGCTCATCTGGAAAACGAAAAGCGGGCGGTCACTTGTTATGAATTCCGCCATGGGCCTGAAGATCCGATTCTTCGTGTAAAACTTCACGTCACGCTTTTTCCAATACGTCTCGTGGTACAATCCGACCAAGTAGTATATTGTGCATAATGCTGCAATTATTATAACTAAAATGGTAATCATTTTAAGTGCTTACGAGCCCAGCACTCGATTACGTCTAGCGGGTCGGTGCGATATATCGAAATACTTTAATTTATACTTGCCTCAGGATGCCCTTGAATCGTGTCATTACAGTGTAATATCATCTTATAAAGCTGCATTCACACAAAACCAGCATACTCATATATTATTTACAAAACAATTTACACATTGAGATTGAATTAACTTCTAATCCATTAGTATTAAGTTAATTTGTACTAGCAGATTTTAACAGTAACAGTTGACAGCGGAGTGTAAAGAATTAGATTGTTTTAAAAATAAGCACCTGCGAAATAGATCATTTTCACTTTTTAAAATAGAGAAATTTATGTCCACTCCTAGACAGGAAATTTCCCTAACGTGTTTTCGTTCGCTTAATGGAGGTTGCTGGAATCCTTATTGCTGGGCTACCCGCTGCACTGTATCGTCAATATTTTAACTCAGGTAATTAAACACCAAGCATTAAAAATGTTTAATATGTCATCGTTTGTTCGGTTTATTAGTAATCGCTTCAAAATATACCGTTTGAACGTAAAGATACGTAATATACATATAAGCCGAATCCTGTCGCAAAAAAGGTTGGTTCTGATTATTTTTCTTCCTCCTCTCCGCTCTACTGCACTCGTACATCTTTGCATTATGTACTAACCTTCAATAAACTTCAGTAAAAAGTTACTTGAACGCCCGCTGACCTCATAGCATATCACTAATCACGATATATGTGAGTCCGTCTAGTGTGTTATTGTAATGTTTGATTACAAACCAATTATTATTCATTGGTATGATGGTTCTTGTCTGTGCTAGACAAAATGACAAAATTATTCTTGTCATAAATAAGTGAACCCAATATTTAAATGTTATCGAACGTGTATATATTTATCGAGAATTCATAAGCATTAACAATGCACTTATCCTAAAATAAGTAGTAACAACTACTACTACTAATATAATATAATATAATCATAAAATTAGTATTAACATAAATAATCCTCCACTTTATTTTCATCTCCTCTGTATTTTCTTATCATCTTATCAATAAGCAGTTAGGGCACTACAGATAGTACAGATACTTTGTTTGCGTAAATGAAGTGTTGTGTTGTTTTTATCCATATATATGTATGGTCGAATTATTTCTTGAAGTCCCGGGTTCTTGAGATTTCTGCAAGTAATGTTTATATTCATTAAATGTTTAAGTAAGATTTTCAATTGTTTGAATCGTCAATACACTTTTGGGATTACAATGAGAGAGGTGACCAGTAAAAACCGACGCTTTTTTTTGCTTAACTTCGCACTAAATTACCGATCCAGTTTTTGCTTTGTATCAGGTTTAGGATCAATAACTGAGTATAAAATTACAAAATGCCGACAGATTTCAATGGAGCTGTAAAATCTTGAAAAAAATATTTTGACAGATATATATAGAAATATATTTATTTATTTATTTATCCTTTATGCACTAAAAGTACAAAGGCGGACTTAATGCCGAAGGCATTATCTCCCAGTCAACCTTAGGGTGGTACAGAGAAGATTAGGTAGGTGCACAGAAAGACAAAAAAAGAAAAACTACAACTGAAACTTACAAGCTACATATCTGATATTATTTGTATATGTTGAGATAAGTAATATTCTAAATATTTAATAAAATTCTAATAAGTAATATTGTTGTAGAGAACAAAATATCTCATCTTTTGTTTCCCATAACTTATTTGTAAAAATTTCAGTTAAAATGTTATATCTATTTCATGCTGTAACACTTTACAGCATGAAAATGATATAACATTGGTCGCTAAATGGCGCCAAGCATTGGTAGATATTAATAAACAACGTAGAGAGATGTCGAGTTTTTCGCGGCCATCGGCCGCTTGCCTTACCTGTTAAAGCGCCTTGGCGTAAAACCGGTAGAAGCGGTTTCTTATCCCACGGCACCGAATGTTTTTGTTCATTTATCTACAAAAATCACATAATTACAAAAATGCACTTGAGTGCACTAGCACAAATAAAAATTAATCTTAAGTTCTACCTTATAGTTGACTGCTGTGTATTCAAATAATACATAATACTTTACCCAAACAAAACAGGAAAATCAATACGTTTCTTCTTAAATTAACTTACATTACATTAAATTAATTAAGCAAAGAATGCAAAACATAATTACAGCATAGCATTACAGATAAAAACCAAAAAAATTCAAATATTTTTACCATTTCTTATGTTCAGATTTCCAAATGATAATTGCCTCCACCTAAAGGTAAATCAAAACTTAAAATTGACACTAACAGTTTTTTTGAAGCCAACACAGGGATTTGAAGTTGGGTTGTATCTGTACTAATATTTTATAAGTGAGAGCGCGGCCACTTCGCTCTTAATCTAATACTAAATTTAACCGACGAAGAGATAGAGTTCCGCTAAGCAAATTTAGTCGATTTTGATTTTGATTTGTTTTAGATTTAACAAATAGATATCTACGCAAAAATATATATTAAAATTTTATTTTATCTTCTTTTATTTTTATTTAAATAAAATAAAATAATTAATCCCGACATTACTGAACAGTAATGAAAGTGTTAGACCTCCATGACAACACATATGTACCCTTTAAAAAATAAATAGTCTTAGACACATTTTCCACATTACGCCAATCACTAAACCAACTTCTGTACCATGCATAGTACACAGCAGTCAAGATGATAATCCCACAAACGTAAACACACAGCAAAGTTCACAAACATAACACACAATGGTAACAGGATACTTGGGCGTATACCCGAATCATGGATCAAAAAAACCAACCACAAAAGTTACTACAAGTAAAATCTAAAGAAAAAGAAAAGCCACAATGACTTGTTTACTTAACTAAGCATGCTATTACATTTTTAACTATGTAGTACATCTAAGTATAAAGTCAATTACTATTTCTAGACGTGGACGTTACTTCTGTGTTTTATTATATAAGCTAAAGCTAAAGCTATTCCATACAATATAAGCTAAAGTGTTAATTTTTTTCAGAGCAATTTTAAGAACTAAAAACCGAACATCAAAAAAGATGACCGTTTTCTGATTATGGCATTAGTCATCAAGTGGGCCTTTGCAAGGATAGTTGAAAGACTGGTACGATTAGGGAAACAACGATTTATTTAAGGATGTCTACTTAAAAATCGTCCAAATTTTGCATGTATAAAAGAAATTAAATATCCGGGTAATTTCAATGCAAAGGTAATACAGACTGAAGAAAACTTATCTCTTTGTCGCCTCTTACGACACCCACGGGATGAGATAGGGTGGCTTATTTTTTAGCCGGAGAAAGAGTCATAATATTCCACCTTTACTCCAAATATTTTGGAAGGTTTCATAAACAACGATATGTAGCACTTTTTTATGTGTTTTGTGACAAAAACATATAAAAATAGCTATGAAAATCGTATTCTGAAAGTATAAAAGCGACGGTTAGTGTTAAAACGAGATTAGGAACGAAGAATAAGCTGTACAAGGCACATTAATTTGCGTAATATAGATATTTCATTGTTCTCGCCGCCACCACTGGCACGTTGCCAACTGCAGGCCTCTCGTTTTTGTTTTCGTCCCATTCAAATTGCGTTTGGGAATAGAAAGTCAAAGTTCAATATGACCGCTATAGATTGCACTGACCGAGTCTTTGTGGCTTCGTATACTTTTTTTGTTGGTTTTCATTAAAATTAAAATGGCGTCATGAAATAGTCACTTAGATTTATTGAGCTCAATAAAGTTTCTTATTTTAGTTTTAATGGTTTAATGAAAGATAATGGATGGGAAAGCGAGTATGTTCTCCTTGAAGGCATGTGACAGTCGATCAACTAGTTGTCATCGATACCAATGACATACCAAGTTATGTTTTAAATGTTACGTTATTTGCTTTCATGCATTGTTAGAGGATACCTCTGTATTGTGATAATTGTATATGGCTCGGTATTTCTCTGCGTAATAGAGTTTGCATTTACATGGCTCAGAATATTACTAAGCTGAAGTGCCAGCCCTATTTGTTGTTGACCTGATCACCGATGTGGCAGCCTCGTATTGGCCATCGCAGTGTAGGACGGCCCCCCAACAGATGGATTGACGACCAGTGCAAATGTGCTAGTTGACGATAGATCAACAATTATCTGATGATGATGATCGAGGTTTAGGACCGTTCTTCGTATCAGTCTCTGGGGTAGACTTATTTAGCAGTGGGCTCGAACCGGCCTGAAATGATGATGATGCTGTGATATACTGATAATGTAATAATAATATATAATACCTTATCACTAGAATTATTCCTCACGTTCTTTTTATGAATGAAAACCGCCAGCGTGCCTCATTTTAAGGTTTTCCTGATGTTTAGTGATAACCGCTGCACATGGACATTTGCAACATGTGTAGGGTTGCAGATTCGTTGCCACCTTTAAATAAATTGGGCCCCGGTTGACTTACTCGCCAAAGGAACGCAGAAGTGTATCACTTTCATTTCACGCCAACCCGATAAATAAAAAAGTAAAGTAAAGTAACAGCCTATAATACATGTCCCACTGCTGGGCAAAGGCCTAATACATGTCCCACTGCTGGGCAAAGGCCTCCTCATTTTTTTTTTTTTGTTATTATTTAATGCAGGAAAAAATAAATATATAAAATAATAAAAATATGCAGGTTTCCTCACGATGTTTTCCTTCACCGCGGAGCACGTGATAATTCAGCACTTAAAGTTAAAAACTTCATTGGTGACGGCACCGGGGATCGAACTCAGGTTGCTCGAGTATATATTGAAATAAAGGCGAGCGCCCGGACACTGAGCTATCACGGCACCCGAGAAATAATAAATAATAAATATATAATTAAATAATATAATTAAACGATAAGGCGGTTCACCTGATGTTAAGTGAATACCGCCGCCCATGGACATCTGCGACACCCGAGGGTAACAGATGCGTTGACAACCTTTTGAAAATTGGGCTCCGGCTACCTCACTCACCAGACGTAACGCGAAAGTATTTGTCATACTTCCACTTTACGCTGGTCTTCTGCGAGATTGTGGTACTTCCCCGTACCATTCGTGTACCATTGAAGCTACCACAGTTATGAGTTTCTTTATAAAGGAAAAAACAAGACATAGCTGTGTACTCAATAAATCATTCATAACAAATTTGCGTAAAGTAACACCTAAGTAAAAGTAAACATAACCAAAAGGGTGTACAGTTAATGTTTACACATACTTTTAACGACATTGTACACTAGAGTACTTTGCCTAACTGAGACGCCTCAAGGACACCGGGCGATCGATCCAATGTCAATG